GATAGTCTTTGTTAGTTTTTTGTGTGGGAGAATTCATGGTATGATATATATATATATCATATATTATCATAATAACTTGTCCTTGTTGGCATGTTAACACCCTATCCCTAAACCCTTAGGAGTAGCTAAATTATAGGGGTGTGCTTACATTCGTTCTTGGTCCGTCTCAGAAAAATATTTGGGGCCCAAAACACTCAAAGGGGGTGTGATTGGGAGTAGTACCAATGAGGTTGGTAGGTGTCACCAAGTAAATACTTGTCTTGTCGTCTACTGTATAGGGCGTTAAGAGTGAGTATGTCGAATCCCTCTGGATGGCACGATTACCTCTCGACCGCTCAGGGGATGGTATTCTCTCAGGCTAGCGGGCGAGAGAGTTCAACGGGCTTTTTTCCTTTACCAAAAATTAGCCTAGGTTGGCCAAGTAGCTGGGGAAAGAGAAATCGCGCAGATAGAGATTTCGACAAATGGGCCAAAGTTCCGCATACTTATGCTCACACTTTAAGTGCAGTACATTTGTCCAATAAATCGATTTGATGGACTACGGTTACCAGTATTGCACCGTGTAACCTGGCGCAATGCGAACTGGCCTTGACTGTGGTATGTGAGACCCCAATATAAGGAGGTTCAAAGGCTAGGATCGGTCAAAATGCTTGGTTTTTTAGGTATTAGGGGATTCTAATCATTGCCCGAGACAGGTCTGTGAGCAAGATTTACAGTGAGATATCATATCATGCCCCACAAAACTGAGCACCACAAATCGCGATGCCCTAACTCTTTTATCGAGTCGCCCAAGAGAGAACATTTCAACCCTACCCCTCCATAGTACGCATACAAACTGGGGCTTTAGAAGATAGAAATGAGTGGGTTAAATGGAGAAATCATACTATGGACCTAATTAGGGCTTTAGGACGGCCAAGTCAATGGAGCCACCAAACTCCTAGCATCGAATATAAGACCAATTCTACAAACCTTCCAACACCCACAGTGGCCTCCTCCACACCACGAAGAAAAAACACTAACCACCACCACCTTTTCTACTACCCCACACTCCAACACTTCACACCTACCTCATCCGAAGTTAGTTAGCCTTCTACTGTTGCCCCCTCCCTCTATCCGCTAACTCCCCAATCTCCAGTAATGCCAATCTTGGAGGGTGCAATCCTTGCCCAGTTGATGGGCTTCTTACAGAATGGCGCAGGTACAGACAAGGACTTCGACTTGGCGCTGACCCAATTCGAGAAGATCATCCACGATACCGCTGTTAACCACTTTAAACTTCCCGAGGAGTCGGTTGGGAAGTTTATCCAAGAACAGATTCAGGTGAACCCCAGCATGATCCCCAAGCAGTTGTTATTATTAATATTGTCATAACAATGATTAAATAGCAAGCTAACCGTGGAGGAATACATCATAGGAAATCCACAAACTCTTCGGCCAAGTTCATGCAATCGCTGAGAGCTACCACTTGTGGGGGCAGACCCCCAGTTACTTCTGCAAGCGTGACATTACAAAGCAAGCCTGCGGTTTCCCAGGACAATTGATCGCTAATTTCCTCCTCTCTGGCAAGCATCTTCCGGAATTCTCACCGGAAGATGAGAAACTTGTCAAGGATCTCGTGGCAGTTATGGAGAACGAAGACTCTGTTCATGACTTCTTGGACACCAAACCTTACGTTGACCATTGGGGGGGCATGAGTGAGCAGGACTTCATTGACTTGGCTCGTCGCATTGTGGTGAGCTTTGCTTTCTCCCATCCTCCTGCCCGGCCTGTGGTGGTGGTGGTGTCTGTGTAGCTAATTGGGTGGTAGATCGACCTCAATGCGATGCATAAGCACGGGGATGAAGATGATAAGTTCATGGCCCTGTCACGACAGGAGAGGATCGAAGACCTCTTGGATCTTTTGAAGGTTTGAAATATTTCCTCTCTCCACCATCTAACAATGCTAATAGTCCACCAGAAGTGCAAAGGCACCCTCTACGCAATGTGGAAGATGAGTCTTTACGAAGAATGCCTCAAAGATCCCCGCGGAATGCAGATTGTATTATCACACCCCCCCCCACCCCCTCTTCCTTCAACATAACAAACTAAAATACCATAGCGCTTCGTCGATAACCAAAAAAACAACTGGCAAAAGAAATCTGAAGGGCGCAAGCGCAAGCTCCGCGACGCGGAGATTGAGGAGCAAGAGGCGGCGACTGGAGTCCGTTCCAAAAAGCGCCGTCCTTCAAAATCTAAGCCTGAGGTGCCTCTCGAAGAACTCGGAATGGAGTACTTCGATGACCCGCGCGGGGTACCTTTGGCGCCACCGGAGAAACCGCTGGCCAGGAAGGGCGTCAATACCGGGAGGACCAGTGGCGCGCCAAAGAAAATTTTCCGTGGGCCAAAGCATCGGGCTATTGAGGCTATTAGACAGGCCAATGCCGAGCGCGAAGCGGCACATTCGGCCCCTAGAGGGGGGGAATTAAGGGTGTCGGCAGCAGCTAGGCCGGAGGCGCCACTACCTCTTTCCATTGCGCCTGCTCAGGATTCTGCTGTTCGGGAGGCCGGGATGGTATTAGCATTAAAGGCTTTTCAGCCAGCCCAAGAGGTCACCGATGTCTCCCGCTCGGGCCGAGACGAGGAGGCCCCGAAAAAGAAAGCTCAAGAAGCCCGTGGCGAGTGTGGACTCCCGGGGGCTATAGTTCCTAATGCTGCCCCTAGATCACAGGAGTACTTCGCCGCCGGAATGAATAACATGGAGGCTGCTACTACTCAGGATACAAACTTCGGTTCCTGGGACTTTCTCTTGGACCCCAGATTCCTGGGTCAAGATGATGCTACAAGGGGTTCCCTAGACGAGATTTTCGGATCTAACAATAATAAAAAGGTGACTTTACCCACCTCTGTAAATAGCAGTTCCAACAACGGCAAAGTCCAGGGCGTGGACTTCTTCGGTTCTAGGCATGGAACCACATCCAAGCCTGGAGCGTTCCAGCCCCCCAGCAGCGCACCTAACAGAGTCCCCATCGGCATCTCTGAAACAAACAATTATAGAGAAGGGGCTCGCTATAACTCTACCCACCTGATGGCAGGGCCAATCGCCCAGATGCCTCCTAACTTCTCTTCTACTGGGAGCACCACCAATGGCATTGCCAATTCCGGATTCCAGGGGCGCCAGAGATTCAACTTCAACGAGCAAGTCTCGGGCACCACTAACCAGCAACTCTTCCAAGCTGGTCACTTCCACTCTCTGCCTGATGGCCCCCCGCACCAATACGTCAACCCGAACTGGCTTCAAAACTCTGGCCAATCCTCTACTCCGGGCACCAACACCACCACATCTTCCTCCCATAGCGCTATTTCTAATGCCTTCCAGAGCACTGCTTCGTATGCAGATGAGAGTTCGGAGGCAGCGGCCATCGAACCTGAGATCGCGAATGAATGGATAAGCCAGTTTGAAGAGGATATTAATGGGGGGATGAGCCTATTTCCTTTCTAAGGACGAGTTATTTATTTAACAGTGTCCCCGGAACGTTGCGACCTTGTATATGACGATAAATCTCTACTCCAGTCTACTCTCTACCTTTGGACTTTTCGGTCTTCGACTTTCCTTCTTTTCTTCTTGACTTCTCTACCCTTTTACGCCAGTGGGTTTACATTAGATTATGGTCTCCTTCCATTTGGTTGAGTAAAGGTGTTTGTGTTTGTATATCATCTTTTATTCATGTCATTTTCCTTTTCTCCCACCACCGTCGCAGGTGGCTGTCCCGGTCGGCCAACGAAACGTTTTTTCCTTTAGCCAGCGTTTGTTTATCAGATGTTCTTGCCATGGGCACGCACACCTTCACATTCGGGAGCGTTTGCATTGACGGTTGTTTTTATCTTTTCTTCCTGCGATTTTGCGATTCTATTTAGCGGTTTTTTTTTTTTTCGGTCGGTCGGTTTGCGATTCCGTACGTACTTTCGTTTTGAGTACAGTACATGCCTGTGTGTTGAATCGGGAACCACACATATATATTATAAAACAAACAAAAAAGCTACAAAAAAAAAACTTGACTTGTCCCCTCCGTTTGTGCCAGGATGAGGTGGATCATTCACAATCTATCACTCGGCCACCATTGTGGTCGCTGCCCCTTCCACGGACTCGAGATGCCCGACTTGAAGGTTGGACAAAATTCCCCGAATAGGGTTCCCATAATCCACTAACAGCATAGCGCTTCTCCGCTATGTGCACTCATCGATGTGCTATAGCCTTGCGCCGTCCATCCATCTGAAATTGGCGACCCCCCTTTTAAAACCGTGTCTTGCCCACCGCCAAACCCTTTGCCCCTTTGTACTCCTGTTGCGATCATTTCCTTGGGCAAAAAATTGGTTTCATCTTTTAGCAATCGGGGAGAGGTGCTTATCTCACTATTTCCTCCCTCAGCGTTAAGATGTCCAATATTGGCATGGGGTATTATAGAAATGCAACCCGGGCCACCTATATGGGTAAAGCCCAAAAAAAACTCATGAGATCTTATTCGCACATCTATGATAAGAGAGTTTGTACTATTCGTATAAGGTGGAGGTAAAGGAGGTAAAGGTATGATATGCCTTCTATCCTCTCCTGCAATTCTTGGGCAAGTCATTATTAAATCATAAACCCCTACCTACCACACATTTACTCATCTTAGGTCTTTGCGATATTAAGGCAGGTGGCGAATATATCTATCTGGCCCATTTCCACAGTAATGTGCAAGAAGGTATTATATGATACCCAACTACCGCCAGATCCCAAATAGCCCGCGTAAGTCTCCCTACTGTATCAGACTATCGCGCGCGTACTACGCTGATCTAGCTAACGTGGTCACGAGAGTGAGGTAAAAAGAAATGTGAGGCCCGAGATTAGCAGTCAATGTTCTCATCCCCCTCTATTTATTCTACCCGCGAAGCCCATCGCGCCGCCTAAACTTCAACCAATACGCACCACACATACACTCCGAGCCCGCAAAACGGTCCGTCTAGGCCCTAACTCCAATCAATTAAAAGTAGTCTAGATTCGCATTCGATTCACCCTTCCCATTCTCCAATTTCCAGGGCCCCTTCATAGCAGCCCACTCCCACCCCCCTACCCCACGACGGAACCCGACCCAACTATCCACAGTCCCCCAGTCGGGAGCCGGTACTTCTGGGACAATTTGATAGTACCAACGGGTGACATCGTTTGATTGACGGCTATAAGTCCGCATAGCCGAAAATTCTCTCAGTGGGGGCACTTTCTTTGGTGCATGAAGGAGGTAGCACTTTATCAAGGTTGCTATGGCCCGCTCCGTCGCCGCCTCGACACGACATCTCTTCGAGTCGGAATTTGGATAACGTAGACCGGGATGAGATAATGACCAATGATAAAGCGGGATCCATTCTGGTATCTGATTTGTGAGGTGAAGCATTTGTAGATTTGGAAGAAGCTTGTAAACCGTGTGGGCGAGCTCGCACTGGTTGGATACCGATATCAGTTTCTGGTCCAGTGCTCGAGCGGCCCGGGGATTAATTACCCAATCATTTTCAAAGTCAAAAGCCGTCCATAACTCTTTCAGGAGCCTACATCCTTGTCCAAGCTTGCGGAGGTGAAATATGCTAAGAGTGGGTATGCGTTGTTGGGGAAGAGCCTCCGCTGGCCTCAATGCAAGCGTTTTTAGAGTTTTTCCGTGATTCCCAACAATCTTCTCAATCAAGGACGATATATCATTTGAAGTCATGTGCGGCGCATGAGCGAGGAAAATTGTTTCTAACCCACCACATTTTCCTAAGAAATCTTTGAGATTTGGGTTGTAACAAAGATAAATCTTCTTAAGATTCGTCCATTCCACGTCCAATCGACAGGCGAACACCGAATTGTGAAAATTCCCCATCTCCAAATAAGTGAGCTTAGAAAAATTAATCACGCCCGCAAGTCGCAGTGCATACTTGTGAGTCTGCGTTAGGTGGAAGGCATTAAGTACCAGCTTTTCGAGCTTCCAGAACTTAAATGTGGGATTTAATGGCTGAGGTTTTGCGATGTCGGAGCTCTCCGGTTGGTCCACTAGGGGCCCAAAAATATGCTCGGATCGGTCTGGATGATCTGAGCGCCCAGAGTGAAGAACAAGTGAAGTCAACGTTGCCCGAGACGTTTCCAGAACTTTACGGAAAAGAGCGGCCGCGCCATTGATAGCTTGCCCGCCCTCCTCTACCCCTCTCATATCTACTTGAAGGGAAGTGAGAGGGGGAAGTTGAGCTAGTGATGCCGACGTATCGGACTCAATGGTGATGCGTAGATGCTTGAGCTTTTTGAGAGAAACTATGGCCTTGACCAAATCTCCTCGGAGCTTGAGATTGTCGCATATTCTGGAACAGAATTAACTTCGCTTAGAAGTTCTACGTTTGATTGTGTGCAATAAGGAAGCGCGACAGGGCGGGGGAAACTTACTGTAGCTCCTCGATATTGGCACAGTTTTTTACCAATTGCGAGATGGACTGTGGAGAATCTCCACCGTGGCCAAGGGAACCGGAATCTTCCCCTCCTAGGTGATTGTCTGGATACATTAAATACAACCGCTTCACATATTTTGCGATTTGCAGAGCCGGCAATGCATCTACGGGGCTCACGGGGCTCTCTTTTGTGAAGTCGGCGGAGAGACTCTCTAAAAGTTTCACCTGACCAGGAAGCGGCTTATTCAATGGATCAGGCAAATTCGGCCCCTCGCCCCAGTTTCCCCAAACGGCAATGCTTCGGTAAAGATAGAGAACAGATATTCTGTACAGTGTCCGTGAAGTAAGGCACAGAGAGAGAAGCGTGCGGGTATGGGTAACCTTTGCGGTTGCAATTAATGTAAGTTGAATAATGAGGGATACCGGTAATATGGTGCTTACATGCTGAACTATTTGTTCCAGTATCTCATTAGGAAGATGCAGGTTCTCACTTCTGTGAGCTTCAACACCTGGAACCTTCCTGGTGACCCAATCCCCTAACTGAGGATCTTTTTCTGACCTGCTGGGCTTCTGAAGCCATCGTACACGACAGTCGGTAGGGCGACCGTCGACGGCAGTTAATGCTAGAAAGGGAGGAGGAGGCATTTCCCAAAAGTCTTCAGAGAATATGCTTTTCAAGTCGATTGAATCAAGTTCGGGGCCTATCCTCCACCATATTTTGCCGGGGATGGTGCGAAAGGCCAAGTGAGGGTCAAGGAATTGACGGGTGAATTCCGGGATAAGAGATAACAGGCAGAGGGATATCTGTCAGGATTGTGAGGTGGTACAAGTATCATACGAGACACGGCCCGAGCACACTAATGCACTGCCAACACCGACAGCAGAGAGAGGATCCGCAGGACAGAGAAGCGGGTTGTAGGTAAGCAATGAATGAATGAATGAATGAATCTTTGTCGAGATGGGGCCCTAGCAGAGGATGTGGATGTATGATACAGGGCTCCAGGTACCCACACGCAGTAGGAGGTATCATAGAAGAGGAGGTGGCAGCGGATAAGGCGAGTTCAGGGTCAAGGGTGTGAGGATAAAGGTTTTTACAACATTGCGAGCAGATGGTATCGTTCACTTATCAGTCAGTACAGTACAAGTAAGTGTTCCGTCATTGGAAGCGGTGATTGAAGATTCGTAGTAGGCGAAGAGGAAAAAGAGTCGTGCTTTCAAATCGAGTATCGCAGAGTGTATTTTTGTCTTTATTTTCCCCTTTTTGGACGATCGGATAAGGTACCGGTACTGTGCTCAGCGTTCTCGGCTATCATGCACTTGCACCCTGGGAGCGGGCCTGTTTCTCGGCTCCTCCCCTCAGCCCAACACTACAAGTATGATCGCGGATCGCTGATATATTGACGATGAACCATGCTGTAGACAGTAACGGCTCCAGCGGAATGAATCATCAACAACAGCAAGCTGTACCATCCATACATGAACACAGGGGAGCCTGAGGCTCAGGATGGAATCCCTGCATTTTCTCCTCTATTAGCTAAGGAAGAGCATCTCGTGTCCCGAGAGGCATAGTGTACCGGTATGCGGGTCCGGTCAAGAGCACTGGCTTGGGAGGAAGAAGGTACTTGGGTACCATCGTAGGTCAATATGTGGTTGTTCGAGGAGTGGCAGATCGCTGGGAATCGGTATCAGGGCGGTACGGTACTGTACGATACAGTACTACCGGCCGGTAACTCATTTCTCGTTCGGTGGGGTTATTCGATGAAACTCTGTCGCACATGAAATTCATCCCATCGGGACTGGCAAGCCGTGATACTCGGGGACTATCGGTATGTGAGCCTGTCATAATAGTAACCCAGCCTTGTCCCTGAGAAAAAAAACAACAAAAGGCTCAAGACTTGTACAGTACAGTATTTTATGATAGCAACAACCAACGAAGCATCAAGCGTTGCTCACCCTCTGATCACAGCTCGGCCCTTTTACCTGGGGAATGGGTAAAGTGTTGGGACAAACAGGGTGTATCCGGACGCCTTGGCACTTATGTCGCCTTTCTTGGCGCCAAGGCGTCCGAATACTTTTGAAAGCGGCTAATTTAGCCTCCCTAATATGATATTCATACTTAAAGAGGAAAAAAGCGCCACCTGTGTGCCAGTATTATTCTAGCCAGGTGATAATTTTTGTCTTTCGCACAGACTAGGAAAAAAAACAGCCCCCCTGTACTCGAGTACCGGTATTAACACTTCCTCGGCCTCGTTCCTTATTCCACAGTCTCTAGAGAGGTCGCAGCGGTGTTAGATTTCGCTGTCGTCGGTTTCCGCTTACGGATATTTAATCCCACCCCGAGTAGACTGTGAGTAGACTAATTACAGTACAGTATCATGCCCGTGCCCGTGCTAATACGCGTGAGTTTTGTTCTCAAATTGGCCCCGAATGAAGCAGGAACCGACCACCCCCACTCGAGTACAGTTCGAGCGCAGATAAAACTTCTAGCGAGGCAAAGGAACACCTCACCACTTAAAGCTTACGTAATTGAACTGTCTGACAGACATTATCGGCGCGACATCACAACGCTTCCCTCATTCTATCACCACCATTATCGGGAATTTTCGACGATACCGTTATCAGAGTTCAATATAAATGTATTATCCTTGTACCGCCGACCCGGCATCAACAGGGATATTTGATGGTTGGAATGTACTAGTACCGGGTATCAAGGGTAAGTCTGTCGAACCCATAACAATTGGTTAGGAGTGTTTTAGCCAACAGTGAACAAGCAACTGCCACCTGTCAACCATTATATAATCAGAATAGATAGTTTCTGCTGTAGACTAAGATAATTATCATGATGGTTAGTGTGACAAATACCAATATACAAGATCAGTGGGAAAAATGAAGAATAAGGGACGCCGAGTTGACTATATATGGGGTGGAAAAAGTGCGAGGAATCGTGAAACGACTCGTGATGAACGCTTACAGATCCTAGCACTACGAGAGAAAGCTGAGATGACTTGGAAAGTGAGGACCTACCCTAATGAATTAAGAGTAAAGAAGTTAACGAGAATGGGAAATCGGTGAAAGGCTAGCTTTAGACTTCCGTACCTGTCAAAAAACATATAAGTGGGCAAAGGATCATGGCTTACCATCTAATCACCAGCGGTCTGGACGGCCAGTTATCTTTAACGCAAAGGAAAAGGAGCGCTTGCGGGCTTTTGTAACCCTGGATAAATGAACTCAGTGCTTTCAGTGGGAAGAGGTTATCCAGGAGCTAGGTTACAATTGCTCTATACCTACTATAAGAGCTGTGATGGCATCTATGGGGTATCATAAAAGGTTACCTCAGAAAAAGTTAGTATTATACCTGTTAATTTCATGTATATTTAGAATAAAACAAGTAATATAAACTATTAGATAGGGTATCAGAAGATATAATAAACCAAAAAGGGTCGCTTGGTGCCAGGAACAGTTGAATTAGACTGAGGAGGAGTGGAAAAGAGTAGTTTGGACGGATGAATCCAGCTTTAGTACTGCTGGTTTTCACAATAGACCTTGGGTTATATGGCAGCCAGAGGAGGAATTCCATGAGGATTGTATAGATCAGGTATGGGAGTCTGGCCGTAAGAGTATTATGGTATGGGAAGCTTTCTGTGGAACAATGAAGTCTCCACTCTATGTAGTACCGCCTGGAACTACTATAAATTCCGCTAGGTAAGCTACTTCTGTTTTAGAATCTATATTATTTTTGAATCATAATTAAACTAATACTATTAGATATACTACCAATGTCCTGGAACCTCTATTAATCCCATTCTGGTATGAGGCTTGTGAGGAATATAGATGGGCAAGAGTGGTTGAGGACAATGCTCCCGGGCATAAGAAATTTGCTGTTCAGTCTCGGCAATGGCATAGAGTTGATAGTATTGAATGGCCTCCCCAATTACCTGATCTAAACCTCATTGAGGGCCTTTGGGCTAATATGGAAATGGAACTTGGCCAGATACATGAAAGGGCCGAGGATACTGATACATTAATTCTTATGCTTCACGCTGCTGTAACGATCCCTCTCTGGATAGTTAGTACTTGGCGATGGGGAACGATACTTCTCTTCCTGTCTTCTTCTTCCTTTGTCTTACGATAGCTCTAGGCCTCTGCCTACGTTACCAATAGTACAAGACCCTTGTCTTCTACCGGGAACGCCTATCGTAAGCTTTCTCTAACTCTTCTTCGTAAAGTGCCTTCCTTGGCGTAATGATAACGTTGCAATAAAGATAAAGATCTTAAAGGTGTTTTATATTCGTTAAAGTAATAAGTAGGAAAAGTACTTAGAACAAAGCGTGAAGAACCTATCTTCCTCGGCCGCATCGGCCTCCTTATATAGTGTTCTTCCCGCCTTTAGTCATGTGACCTAAAGTGGTCACATGTGCGAAACCAAATCATAACAAACTAGTCATATGACCAAAGTGATCACATGCTCAAAACCCATAAATCAATCATAATGCAATAAACAAGTCATATGACTTGACTGAGTCATATGTACGAAACCCATGATCTCATAATGAGGTCATGTGCGAAACATAAATCATATGCGCAAAGCTTACCCGTAAGGCACACTCGCAAGGCATACTCGTCAGGTGGATGTCCCATGACTCATACTTGAGCCATGTGCGAAAGTATCACAAATCCCACACATAACAAATCATATAACCCGAATAGGTCATATGTGTGAAACAATAACATACCTGTGACTCATAACTATGCGTCATGTGAAAACCCTTTCCTCGTTAAGCCATGTTCGTGACATTAGCTCCCCTCCTCCTAAGCCTGAGTCCCATCAGGCTTTTTCTCCCAGTTTCAATAGTTCCCATCCTGCCGAGCGCATGGTCCTTCTCAGCTTGTGGAACTTTTCGTCTGCCGTCCTCCATCTGTCCCTTACCGATTCCAGAGTCAGATTCGCCATCTCGATCGTGTGCCGCTGATTGTCGTTCAGCAGTCTAAGCTCCGCGATCGTTTTGTCATTTGCTGAAATTGTGGCCTCGGCTTGGCCTAGTTGTTCTCGGAGTCCCCGGATTTGCCTGTGTAGGCTCCTAACATCCGGTTCCGTGTCTGTGGAGGAGTTTTGGGCCCCTCCCTCCCTGGACCGCGTCCTCGCGGCCCATGACTTTCTGGTATCTTCTCCCTCCAACTCTTTCCTGCTTCCATCTTTCGGCGGGTAGAATCCCGCAGATATTTTCTGTGCCCTGTACATTCTGCACCCATTTCTGAAGCATTGTTGCCAATGCTCTAGAACATGGTCCGGGCGTGGGCCACGCTTTCGAGATTCCCTCGGGAACCATCCCGAGCCTTCTTTGTCGCCAAAGTGTGTTTGGCAACCGTCATCGTAGCATATCGTCCATGACATGGCGTTATGCTGTGCTTGTTATTCCCTTTCCTTAAGTTCCTCGTCGGTTGGCCCCATGAATGAGTATTCGGGGCTGGTGGGTGAGTTTTGGCGGGGGCTATTGCCCCAGCCCTTATGTGGTTGCAATGGCACAGGAGCCTTTCCCTCGCCTTTGTCTTGGTTGAACGTGATCGTCACCTAGGCCGGGCTTGCCTGGGTATCGTTGGTGGAAGGTTGAGATGGCATCTTGTGCGTTTTCGAAGTTCTGTGTGAA